AGAGCGTCTCCTGCGCATGCGCAGGAGACGCTCTTGCACTTTCGGGGGGATTTAAACATCCCCCCGAAATTTTTTTTAACTTTTTGCATTTTTGTGCACACGTGGGGACTGGCCCACGTGTGCACAAACCTCCCCCTCCCCCCCACCTGCCCCCTCCGTGCTGATTTAGCGATCCGCACGGAGGGGGCAAGTTGGCTATTAGATATATAGATTCCAAGAGAACTCCAGGCCCCACCTGTAGGCTGGCAACCCTGTTGTGACATGCGGGTTTAGTGATCAGAACACCTTTTGTTTCTTTTAACAGAGGGGAAGGGGGAGGAACAGTTCAGGGCCATCCTGCCTCATTTTTAAAAAGGGGCTCCTAGGTTGTTTTAAGCCCCAGTAGTGCAAAAAGATCCATATTGTGGCAGTCCTTCTTACTTCCAGCAGTAGAAGCAGTGGGAGAGGAGAAATGACATGGAGGGAAAGAGTTAATCCATCCCTCCCCAGTCCCATGGCTCCCACAACCCAGATCAGCTTCCCCCAATAGCTTTTGAGGGCCAAGTTTCATATCTGGTGTTCCAGTCACAAAATTTCAACATCACAGGTAGTTTTGTGCTTCACGATTTTGATTTCATTAATCCTCACAGAAGCTTTATCCAGTAAAATGGACGCATGAGTCAGTGACTTTCCCAAACTGAACTATGTGATTTACAGAGCCATCCTAAGCAGAGTCCAACCCTTCTAAGCCAATTGAAGATGCTTTGCTTAGGATGGTACTGTTGGTGGGTCCTTGACCCTACCAACCCTCCAGATCTTCCACTCTGTCTGCTGAGCACCAATGGCATTTGGGTGGCATGCACCATATCCTGGAGGCTGCCAGTGGCCATTGGCATCAACACACACACACACACACACATCGCCACATGCTGCTGGCAAAGGCCCAACCTGCACTCCCGCTTAGTTACCCCGTTTCAGGCTCCGGATAACAAACTTCTGTACGCCACTGACTGCAGGCAAGGGAAGGGGTGGGGGAAGAGAACGAAGATGAAGTGATTAATCTGCAGAACGTGTGAAGCAAGGGGCAGCCATGTGGGACTGGGCTGCATTGGGCTTGGCTGCATCAGCACCCAGGTACTTCTGGCACACAGTCTTTCACACATCTGATCCCAATAAGCTCGAAAGCATCAATTTCCGCCTGTATTAGTGCCCTATCAGTCTGCATTGCAATGCCAGCAGGGGCGACAGGTTTACCATCTGAAGAGGTTTCAAAACAAGGAACACCTTGGATCCAGCAGTAGATTTCTGCTAAAGGAAGGGGGGATATTTTCCCCCAAATCTCCTGTGCCACTACAGGTTTCTGATTTCCCCCTCAGAATGAAGTAGAACAGAGGAGGTGAGAAAATCCAGGCCTGTTGACAGAAATCCCTTCCATCAGCAAAAAGTATCCTTGGATCCGACTCTGTAAGTATTACCAGTCCTATAAATAAGAAACCATTCCTTGCGACAAGCAATAGGGGACACAGCTACTGGGCAATGCAGTCTGTCGTTCACAAAGAGCCATAAAGCCAGTCTAGGATTCTCCTGTGCCACACTGCTCCACCTCTTCTAGAGACGGCTTTTGTGCTTTCACTTTAGTGATCAAAATGCTGATGCAGGAGTTATGACAAGCACTTAACACAGAGCGGACCTCCAGACCCTTTCTCTGTCTGCATCTAGGACCCCAAGACCATGACTCTTGCTTTACCTGCTCCAGGGACTGTGTCTCCTGCCCTTGTACTACAGCACTTGGGTTCCTCTACCCTCCTCTCCTGCTTCCTACTGCAATAAGAGCTCACGGGATGCAGAAGAGGTGGGTGAGCTGGACTCCTGCAGCACAGAAAATAAAGACGCTCCTTGGCTGCTGCCTCTGGCTCCACCCTGGAGTTGTTCAGGGGTTGGCAACAATGCTTATGTCGGCAAATAAGTCCTGGGTAGTCCAGGTACCTGTGCCACTCCTTCTGGTCCAGCTTTAAAAGGAGGTATGAGGCGAAAGCCTGAAGTAGTGCAATACTCCACCTTGGCTGGCAAGAGCAGGACAAATAGCAGCTACAGTTCTGGGAAGAGCAATTTCTCCAGCAGGCTGATTGGCAGACAACTCACAGTCTACTTTTGCCCCTTCTGTATTACAGTCCCACAAAGGGAAACATCCTATTCTTGAAAATCATCTCCCCAAATCACGGAGGACCTTATTATCGCAGAGAAGATGACAATGACATAGGACTGCTGTTTCAGCAATTTCAAGAGGTGGGCTGGCATGAGCTAGAACCATGGCAAGATACAGATGCTTTAGGTTACCTTTCTCCCCCTCAGAGCGTGCTGGGGACTTGGACCGCCTTGGGGCTTCTGGTGACCCAGCTGCTGAGCTTGGCTTTCCTGAGCGGGTGCCCTTAAAGAATAAGTTCATGAGGGTTTTGGAGCGCTGGAGGGTGACCTTCTTCTCTGAAGATGCTGGTTTCTCCTTCTTCCTCTGGCGTTTCTCCTCTGGGACAGGAGTTCAGAAAGTCATACCAGAAGGGGTAGCACTAAATCCAATACCCTCCATCCCAATCTGAACCCCTACCCTATCATAGCCCCAACACTTTTATAACCTACTATGGATATTGTTTATAGGCAATACATGGGCCTAGTTCAACTTCTCAGACCCTGCATTTGAAAGGATGGCCAAACACTCAGGACCAAAACATAGCTCATTCACACATTACGGAGTGTACAGGATGAGTCTGGGGTCCCTATTTTGTGTAATAATCCAGGGAGAGCTGCAAGTTCTCCTCATTTCCCACACATGCAGTGCCTGATTTGGATCAGGACTACAGGACTCAAGGGGAGGGGCTTCAACCTTCTCCTTGTGCATCTTCCTGACCTGAACTAGGCCTGGGACATTATTTGCCCTATTAGGAAAGCGCACAGTTGGAGAGAATGGATGATCTCAAGGTTTCTATAAAACAATAAAATGAAGCAATGTGTAATAGAGTTTTCACTCAGATGACCATGGCCCCGCCTGGTGACGTGCACGTCGGGGTGGAGTTCCCCCCGGGGCCCAATCCGGCAGCAGCGGGGAACGGGCCTCTGGGGCGGGGGTTTCCTCGCCCCCCGGGGGGACTTGGCAAGCCTACACTGGGCTCAAAAGAGGCAGGCCATCAGTAGGCCTCTTTTGAGCCCAACCTGACTCCTTATCCTGTGAGGGAAGCAATTCCTTCACAGCATAAGATCATGGTGGGGGGGGCATGGGGATCGTCTGTGGAGGAGGTCACACTGAATCGCATTATCTGAGTTCTGTTTTCCCAATGATGACTTGCAACGGGGGCTGGGGACAAACAGGAGAGAGAGAAAGCTCCCTCAGGCCAGTGCCATCATGGGAAGCTGAGTGCCTTGAATACAGGAGATGAATGCAGGCAAGGGGGCTTGAATATGGATCAGAAGATGAACTTGGAAAAATGATGGCTTTGGGTAGGGAGGATGGGGGTGGCACTCACATATACACACACTCTTCCACTGACAAAGCCATTGTGGGGGGCTAGAATGCCACCTTTCCAGCTCCCCTTCTCTAGGCAGCCACTTCCTGAAAGGAGAAAGCATTTTCTTCTTTGTTCAGTTTTCCATCTCTTCCCACAGAATTATTTCACAGGTCCTCGCTTAATATTTAACATCGGGGGGGGGGGGGGTGAAAAAACAAACAAGAAAAGGAGGAGCAAAATGCACACACCTGGAAAATGTGGGTCTCGCATGATACTAAAAGGAATGACAGAGAATGTAAATCTTTTAAACTCAATAAACAATAATGCTGAAAGGGCTGGGCACCTACCACAGACTGTCAGATAGCTCTGTGATCTCTTGATGGGCTGTCGGGGATGGCTGAGTGCCAGGAGGAGCGCTGTTTTGGGGGAAGGGTCTGTTGTTTCCTTGCTGCTGAAGGGCCGGTGCTTCCTCAGGTGGAAGGAATCTTTGAGGCTCTCTGAGCGGATCGCGGTGTCCTTTAGGATCTCCATGGGCCGCACGATCCGGCGAGTCTCAGTGATCAGGCTTCCCGACAAGGAGGCTCCGTCACCTGGCGGGTCAGTCTGCATGGCTGTCTCTGCCCTCTCTAGGCCGCGGCTCCGGATTGGCGGGTCCTCAGTAGAGATGCCAATATCCACCATGCAGCTTTGAGCTGAACTGGAGACTGGGGCGGGGGCCATCTGTAGGCCATTCATGGAGCTGAATGGAGTCCCTGAGGAGTAGGATGAGACCGACGAGCTGGATTCCGAGGTCTGTGACAGCTGCTGCAACTGGCCATTGGCTACTGCATAGGGAGTGAGAAAGACAAATTTTGGGTTTCCCCCCATTCCGACAATCAGTTTTAATACATTTAATGTACAGGAGTGGCCCATTTGCTGTGCACGATCCAGATGACTTCTTTCGTGCTTTTGCTGCAGGGATATTACCTTTTCCTAATACTCTGTATTCTGCTGCCCCCCCCCCTTAAGATAAAAAGTCATTCTTCCCACAGGCAGCACAAATCATTGCTATGGCCATTGGCTCGTGGAATGGGCTTGCATGTGCTCCACAGACAGCTCCCTGGTATTAGAGAGCCCCGTCTTTGTGACTAGTTTCTTTTGTTCTGCATTGTGTAGGGGATAGCTTCTTGTTGGTTTACTTGTATGTATCACCTAGGACACTAAATGTTGATGAGCAATACAATGCCGCCCCTGTGCAATGCTCCCTCTAAGCTGTGGAGTCTTGTGAGCAAAAATTCTACTTTGTGAGATACTGGCATTAAAGTTGTGAGCAAGTGATTTGGCTACTGCATCAATTAGTTTGCTCTGGAGCCATCCTTCCTGAGCTAAGATAAAAGTGTGTGAGCCGGAGGCTTAAAAACTGTGAGCTAGCTCACACTAACTCAGCTTAGAGGGGACACTGCCCCTATGTACATGTTTTGTAACATTTCAAAAGTTTGGTTGAGGTTGAAAAATTCCGTTATGGAACTGTTCATCTAGCTTTTAACGAACAACTGATACCAATTAGGTTAGGGGGCCCCCCCCCATCTCTGGTCCATATCCAATGATAGCAATGACCACTATTCATGAATTATGGAAGGGGGGGCACCAGGCTTGTATATCTGTGCAACTCCATGCATGGCCTTAGGGGTGAAATGGGGTTGCCAACCTCCAGCTGGGGCCTGGAGATTCTCCTGGAATCACAATTGATCTTCAGACTGCAGATCTCCAGGGTCTCCTGATCTCCAAGTGACCAGTTCCGCTGGAGAAAATGGCTGCTTTGGAGAGTTGACTATATGGTGTTATATCCCACTATGGCCCCTCCCCTCCCCAAACCCTGCCATACCCAGGCTGTACCCCCAAATCCCCAGGAATTTCCCAATCCAGGGCTGGCAACTCTAGGGTGAAAACACCCTCTGGAATGTAAGGGTCTGAGCTTCATCTGTATCTGTGCTACTGATTTGGGGGTCCCAACATTTGAAACAGCAGCGAGGGAGAAGGGTAAGAGATGTAATGGAAGGGAGCAAGCAAGGGGTCCTGCCCCACTTCCAGACTCTGCACCCTTCTATCAGCAGGCCTGGTGAGTTATCTGGAAGGAAAAGATATCCTCTAGAACAGGGGTGGCCAAACTGTGACTCGGGAGCCACATGCGGCTCTTTCACACATATTGTATGGCTCCCCCCATTCCTCCCCCCCCCACAGCTCAAAGGCCTGGGTGGGAGAGGCAGCGGCTTTCTTGTCTGAAATGCAAGGAGGGAAAGCAGCTTGCTTGCTCGCCTGCAGAATCCTCTCGCATTCCTTATTAGCTCTCAGCAAAGCAACATCGCATAGTAGCATAGACAGGAAGGGGGGGTATTTTGGTCTTACATCTGTTGAGCCAGCAGTACTCGGCCACCATTTCCTTGTATGCCGGGAATCTCCCTGTCTCCTAAAGGGAGGGAACAGAAGAGACGTGTCTCAAGATCATTTGCTGACTGCCCAGCACTGCACGGTGTGTCTTCGGAGACTAACCCGATCCCAGATGGAGAGACACTTTGATAAATAATGCATCCTCCACTGCCAGGTCCCTTCCCAGCTGAAACTGGATCTGCTAAGTCTCAAGAGTCTGGGTCCTACAGCGTCTTGGGGAGGAATTACTGGGCATCAGTGAGAGGACAAGAAAGGGAGTTCAGTGCTGCTGCTCTAGCAAGCAGTACATTCGCAAGTGCAGCTTCCTGGGGGAGCTGGAGTCTCTCTCTTCCACCTCTGGCAGTTTGCTTGTGTGCCAGCTAGAGCAACCAAGTACCCTATTCATGGCTGGGCAGAAAGACTGTACCCTTGGGAGGTTGGTTTGGGGAGTGGAGTGAGCTGAACTGGATGATTCCTCACAAGAGTCTGGAACCAGCCTTTTAATGCCTCTCATGGCAAAGGACTACCCTCCACTCTTGTTGGGACTTTGCGTTCTCCCATTCCTCTTTGTACCCTTATCTCTGCCCAATGCTTGGCACAGCCCAGGCCTCACCTTGATGGTCAGCATGATGTGGGTCTGCCCCTTTAGCACTTCCACTGCCTTGCTATGGCTGATGTCGTTAAACATGACTCCATTGGCTGCAAGGACTTGGTCGCCGACCTTGATCCCATTTTGCTCAGCCAGCCCGCAGGGATCCACTCTGGGAACGACATAACCTGGGAGTTACTCCCATCATAGCACAGTCAGTCTAAGCAGACAACCCAGGCTTTCCAGGAGGGGTGAGGGGCTCAGGGAGAGAAGTGGGACATCGTCTAAGTGGGAATGAGTGATAATGTGATGGAGATTCATAAGGATTATAAAACAGCCCTAGTTCTTCATCCAGTTGTAGCTTATAGAAGAATATTCAAGTCCTCTTAGGACAATTTTCTGCATGGCTTCCCAAGGATCTGAGGTGCCAAGTTCTTCAAGATGGGGCAAAAGGGTTTTTAAGTCTAACAGCCTTTTTGGCAGTAAGACTCACGGCCAAGCTATGCAGGATGCTGGAGAGTTGTGATTGGACCATCAGACATGTAACTGAACTGCAAAACCTGTCATGAGGAGCTATGGATCAAGGAAGTGGGGATTAACTCTTCCACCTGCACTGTTTCCCCAGTTGGAAATGGCCTCCCCAGCCCCAAGCCCTGTCCACAAGTTACAGTGAACACACACATAATCTCTGTAGAATGTACACGTGATTGTTCTTTGTATGTTTGCTGAGTAATTGTCATGTTACAGTGAAGGAATGCACAGCTGAACATGTGATACAAACCCTACATTTATCTGGGCACTGGTCCCTAGTCTCATTCATAAATTGAACGTGTGTTGGCTCTTTCTTTACAAACAATTGTATGCCTCTATAGACAGCACGTAGGTGGTTCACTTAGCATGTGAACAGGGCTCCAATAAGGAAAGAACAGGCACAGTATGATGCTATTATGCCCATCTCTCCCCCCCCCCCCCCCCATACTGGGACTAAAAGCAGCCCCTTGGGGTTTTTCTGCACAACCTGGAGGCAAATCATCTACAGATCTGGACAAAGGGTAGCTAACTAGTGACTCTGACCTAGTGTCTGTCCCAGGTAGTTTTTATTCACCACTCAGTTTTCAGAACAAGGATGGCAACAGAATAAAAAAATCTGTACTACACTGCTTTGCAGCAGCCATCCCTCAGTGGAGGAGCACATTCTTTGCAGGCAGAAGGTTCCACCCCTGGAATCTCTAGTGCAGGACGGCAGGTGCTATAGGAAAGACCCCTTCTTTGCCCAGGGTGGCGGAGAGCAACCATGGGCCTCCAGACAAAGATTCCATCTGCCCCCTCCACCATGTGACCAAATATTATCAGCTTGCTGCTACCATCCATGAATAGAACAATAACTGTTCATTAGGGAAGAAACATTAAAGGAAAATGGGCAGGATTATTAAAGAGCCAATTTTACTTAACTTATTTACACAGTGCACATTGCAATAAGGTATGGTGCAAAAAACCCCAAACACTTTCAAATAACAACCACTGAGCAAATGCCAACATTAAACAAGAAGAGACAAAATCCAGCTCATAGTACTCTGCATCCTCTCACTCTCTCTGTCTTACTGACTTGCCTTGGAAAAGAAGGGAGAAGATGATTTATATAATTCTCAAGTCGTGCGGTGTGCGGATGCTTAAATCTGCACATCAGGGGGACCTGGGGGGGAGGGAGAGGTTTGTGCGCACGTGGGACAGTCCCCACATGTGCACAAAAATCCTAAATCTGGAAAAAAACATTGGGGGATGTTTAATTCCCCCCGAAACTCACAGAGCGTCCCCTGCGCATGCGCAGGGAACGCTCTGCGACTGATGCTGCCGCCGCCGCTTGGAAGGTGAGCAGTGAGCTGGGAGGGGGGCAATGTTCCCTCTAAGCTGTGGAGTCTTGTGAGCAAAAATTCTACTTTGTGAGCAACTGGCATTAAAGTTGTGAGCAAACGATTTGGCTGCTGCATCAATTAGTTTGCTCTGGAGTCATCCTTCCTGAGCTAAGGCAAAAATGCTTGAGCCAGAGGCTAAAGAACTGTGAGCTGGCTCACCCTAACTCAACTTAGAGGGAACACTGGAGGGGGGCCCCTCGCTTCGAGGCCAGATGGGGGAGATCGAGCGGGGGGGGTGGAGGATACGGGGGAGGAACCGGCAGGATGGGGGGGAATTACCTCCTCCTGCTGCTTCCTCCTCTGCCTTCTTACTTTGGAGCTCCATTTGGAGCTCTGCCTCCCTCCCCACCCACCCCCCGCGAGTATCGCGGGTCCACCCCTTGTATATATATATTTTGCAACTGGCACTCATGGGCACCACTGGCACCCATAGTTGTGTTTCTTAACAAGCACTTTCTTCTTTCCCAGAAGTATCTCTTAACTGAAACAAAGTTGGCAGGTGATCAGAGTCCTGCATCTGCACTAACTTTAGAAAGCAACTCCGGATCCTGGATACTGAAACCCAACTGGCTCCAGTTCTCCCTTCCCTTCTGCTGCCTCCGCCTCCTTAAACAGAAAGAAAAAGGAAGCAGGAGAGAGAGCAGAGAGAGAGACCATCCCATCCTCCTCTCCCAGCCAGAGAGTGTCAGATTTTTGAGTTTTAAACAATCAAGCACATCCCCTCTTCTCAGGCCTTGCTCTAGTTGGCTGGGTCCTGTCCTTGTTTACTCAGAGAGTGTGACTGAGTACGATGGGGCTTGCTTATATGCAAATATGTACAGGAGGACTGCAGCCTTAGATCCCCCCCCCTCACTTCTTCTCCCTGATTCCACCATCCTCCATTTCCATCCTGCATCCATTCCTTTCCATTCACCAGCACCAGATACTCTCCCAACCCCCTGCAATTAGCCTCACCCAGATTTTGGGGTTGCCAATATTTTTTTCTTACTAGCTCCTACTCCTGTGCCTTTCACCGCCACAAACTGCAGGAACAAGTCAGTGCTAAGTATTTGTTTTGTCAAGGGTTCCCTTGCTGATTTCTATAGATCATGCCTCCATTAGAGGCAGTGGTGCAAGCAAACCAACCCTCTTTCTCAGTCGGTTGGCAACCTTAATTGGAACTCCCACTAGTTTGGGGTTTCTTCAGCACCTGTCTGGAAACTTTTTTGCCACCCCAACATCACAATGTGAGTTTTAACAGCCCTGCCCCCTCTATCATATTTTTCTCTGGGACAAGAGATAACTGAGAATCCCCCCCCCCCACTTGCCTCCAGCTAGGGGCTCACTTACTAGATGACAATCCTGTTCTTGTGGTAGAGAAGCTTCTCTACGCAGCTCAGGAAATGGGGCAGGGAACAGAGCAAATGGTGGGGCTTTTTGCAAGGCAGATGATGGAAGGAGGAGGGGGACAGATGGGGCACTGGCTGCTGACATGCAGATCATCATACTTGAGAGAAGGAACACATGATGCACATGCTGCCTTCCCAGCGCACAGAGTGTGTGTTCAGACGAGGCGTTTCAGCCGGCATAAACTGTACTGGTTGGAACCGGTGCAGTTTATGCCGGCTGAAACGCGATCACACTTACCTCCTGTCTGCGGAGCCCATCGCTGTATGCCCGTTCACATGCAGTGGGCGTTGGCGTTTTTTTTTTAAACTCAGTTTGAGCATGCGCATAGGCAGCCATCCACAGAATGGCAATCTTCACGCATGCGCAAAACACCCCGTCTTACATTTAAAGTTTAAAGGTAAGGACTTACCTTTAAAGTTTAAAGACCAAACTGGTCTCCCTGAGGTCTCGGAGTCCTCCAAAACCTTAAACTAAGGATCTTTTCTTTTCTTTTCTTTTTTAAACAAACGCCGGGGCGAAGCTTCGCCCAAGCGCATATCGCCGACCTAACAAAAAAAATGGCGGGCGAAAATCAGAAGCCTCGGGCTTCCGAACGGAAGTGGCTCTACAACGTTGGAGAGCGATCAGACGGGGGTAAAGCAATTACAAATGTTGCACTCAGGATACCACCACTTGGTGACCTAGTGGCAGAATACAACGGTGTAAAGCTCTTTGCAATGGTTAGGGACGGAAGGCAGATGTTCGCCGTGTGAACGCCGGTAAGTACACCGATTCCAACCGGCACCTATACCATTGCAAATGCCCCGTCTGAACGCACCCAGAGTGTGAGGCTGGCTGGCTATGCAGGTGCAGAAGGGGCAGGCGGAACAGACAATCTGGGCTCAGTGGACCACTCGCCTAATGGCACCAAGCAGTTTCATATTAGCTTTCTTGTGGTTGTTCTCAAAAGCATACCACTTGCTGTTCTTTGTTGCCTGTAAGCCCCTCCCCCCTTTGAAACAGTAGAATTTGTACAGACATGGAAGGTAAGAACAAACTCTGCCAATAATATGTTTCCTACTTATTATGGCCTGAACTCCTAGAATCTGAACATCTTAAAAGAATTATGAAGTTGTAATAACTTGAACTGGGTGGTCCCTGGATCTGAAGCAGTCAGGCAACGAGGGTTCTGGGCTAAGCCTGACAGGCGCAACACTTACTTGGAGACATAGATGCCAAGGCCATACTCCTTCCCCCCACGGATGTTGAAGCCCAAGCAGAAGTCATCAGATGTGGTGTAAAGGTGGACAATCCGCCGCCTGCCAATCTCAGAGCTGGTGTCTGATGGGGTCGAGCCACTCTTCTCCACAACCAAGCGTCTGTTTATCACATCAACCCTGTAGCACACATAAGAATTTGCCCAGTAGTACAAATTCCAAGGATTTTACCCAGGAGAATGGGAGCTTAAAATGTAATTTTGGAGGTCACCAGTCCAAGCCTCACCACAGCCACAAACTCATTTTAGGTAAGGTTTTCTCTCTTGGCCTGAGTCTTCCATCTGTAATTTCACTGGCCTATTTTATAGGGTTATTGTGAGGATTACTATGATCATATAAATAATTATACTCTGATCAAAGAAAATCAGATAAACCTGTTTTAGAGCACATAGCAAGCTTTTGCAACTTGGATGATGAATCCTGAAAATTGAGTTCTAGGATCTGAGTTCAATTTGAGTCTAATTCTGGTGCATATGAGCTTGGTCTCAGAACCTGCCTTTTCCTTTCCATCTACCTTAAGTCACTACAACCTTCCCACGTTCATCATCATTAAGGTTTCAATCAGAAGGTGTGACTTCAAGGGGGCACTGCTGGATTTAACCACTGGTATCTGTAGGGGAATTGTGAAGCTGAAATAAACATTTGCAAATTTTCATACTTGGTGAATTTGTTCAGTTTCATGTTGTGAATGTCCATTTAGAATGGATGATCGGGAGGCCTAGCATTTCCAATGTGAAGTGAGAGTATGCCACAGAACATATGCCAGAATCTTCTGCAATGGACAGGGGGCCCATGACTGAGATGCAAGGACTCCTTGACTGTCAAGTCAATGGGAAAAGGGTTCTCTGAAAGCAAAATTTAAAAATCTATGGTTATTTGTTTGCTGTATATATTATCCTACCCTCACTGCTTTGTTTTTATATTATGCAATACTATTTTCTGCATTAAGATGTCATGTCTAATACTTTACACTTTGTTTCAGACTGCTATAATCCTAGTTCTGTTACATTGTTTATTAGATGTCTCATCCATTGACTTACACTGTGTTATCTGCCTTGAGTCACAGTGAGAAAGGCAGACTATAAAGTAAATAAACAAATTAAAAAATATCAGCTATAAGTACTGTTGAATCCCAAGTACCATTGCATGTCAACTATCAGATGTCAAATATTAAAATGAAATATCACCAAATGTCAAATATTGAAATAAAATATTTGAAGAATCTGTCAAAAGTGAGCCACAATACAACATCAAGCGTCTAGTCAACATCAACATTTGCAAACGAGAATTTTGAGGAAAATTTTGGGAAGCAAATTTATTTCACATGTTGGATACTGGCAAGGCATTTGGTCTAGTTTAGAACTTGCTGCTATTCCACTCTCCATGCACTATAGCTCAGGCATGCATACCTCCAGACTGGACTTGCAAACTCCTTTCAACCACCCATCACAGCTTTTCAGTCACTGCTGGGATTCCCCCCCCCCCCCCCCCCCCCCACACACACAGCTTCACTGATATATTCTTGGTCCTTTCTTCACTTACTGAACATGGATCCCTTGTGATTTAAGTTGGAGGAACGAATTTAGCCCAGTAACCCCAGGTCACCTTGACCTCTCCCTCTCCTATCCCTCGGTCAGAGTTCACTCTGATATTGTCTCCTTCTGTCTCAAGAAACTTGATCTCTCCTTCTCTGCTCTGCTGAGCCCAGCACACTTGCCTCGGCCCAGACAAACAACACATTGTGATTTTTGGTTACCTAAGGCATGCTGACAATAGGGTGCTCCCATAAGTAGGCAGTCTCACTTACCATGTGGTCTTTTCTTTGGAGAACTTTATCCCTGGCACCTTGCCCATGCGTCTCACAACCATCCGCAGCCGGTTGTTCCCTGTCAGGACTTTCACTGCACTCCCCATTGTAATGTTCTCCAAGCTCACACTGTTCACCTCTGTGATTTTATCTCCAACACACAGCCCAGCCAGTTCTGTGGGTATTAAATACAGATAGCTCAATGCAGCCCAGGGACTGGTGAGTATACTTCCCCCCCCAGACCGCTTGCATATTAAGGCAACTGCATTACAACAACAAAATGAGCTGCAAAATATAGCACAAATTTTAGAGTAAACGAGAAGATCCTTAACATTTCTTAAAAGAGGATCCTATAATTTTAAGGTATTTGTATTTTGGGCTGTATCAAAAAGATAAGTCTGGTTTATCAGCTGGCTACACACAGAGGAGCCACATTTCAAGGTAAGTGTTCTCTTTGGGCTGCTTCTCACATATACACATATGGTCGGTTAAGGACTACTATGGCATGGACAAGTCTTTCCCAAGCCCCACCTATGATCCCTCAGAGGGATCCCACCACCAAATCATAGACACTTGGTCCTTCTACTCCAAGCCCATCTACTCCCACCAGCAAATGCAAGATTGCCCTAGAGACCCCTCTGATGTCCGAAGGGCCTCTAAGCAATTTTTAGTTTCATGGTGGGTCTGGAAGAGGCACTTGGAAAAAACAGGGAAAGAATTTCACACTACTTTTAGTCTTGTTGGCAGTGACAGAAAGGAGTGTGACAATGTGCTCATCTGTCTTTTATAGGAGGATTGTATATGTGCGTGGGGGAGGGCGTTAGAGGGCATCTTGCCCCCATACTTGGAACCAGCCCTAGGTATGTATTCTGTGGCCTGTTCCCAGTAGTTTGCAAAGATTAGTTTTGCTGTTGAATAGCAGGACAAAATTATTTTTTGTGCTACTTAAAAACACTAATTTCTTACTGGAGCATTAAGTAAACACAGGAAGAAATCTGAAAATCTGTGATGTCATAGAATTCTTTCCTGGTGTTTTCTGACAACTGTTGAACACTTTGCAAAACTGTTTGGTAAGTGAGTTTTCAATGGACTTATGTTACCTGGATTGTTGTGATATGTCCACACTTGGTTGTACAAGGATGAAAAACCTGGTATTTGGGTGTGTCGGGGGAGGGTAGTGTCCCTAGATGATCATCTTGTTGGCTAATATTTAAGTCTTGTGTGCTGGGTATTTTTGAGTACTTTTTAAAGTTGGTAGCATAGAAAAGGTTTTGCTTACCTGCACTGCTGCCTTCCTCCACCTTGCTGACAAAGATACCCAGACCATGCTCTGAACCGCCACGCACGCTGAAGCCCAGCTTCCCCCCTGCGCTCTTTTCTACCGTAATGGTAATGAAGGCATCACTCTCGTCACTGTTAGCTGTGGTGGACATAATAGCATGATGTAACTATAAGTGGCACTGCTAACCCTCCCTGGACATCAGGCTGCCGTCCTTCACCTCAAAACACAAACTTGCCTACATGGGAAAGTAATAACAGAGAGAACCTCTTAAGAAATACACAGCTACCCAATGGAACTCTGAAGATCAGGATCTCTCTTCCCATGGAGCACCAAGCCCAGAATTTATAGTCCCTCTGGAAGCTTAGAGACTACAAGCTTTCCTGTCAAATTCCTGATAGATTACTTGACAGTGGGCAAGGCTTCTCCAGAAAGTCTGTCCCCTCCAGGATGCCAAGGGCTGGGTTGTGGTGGCAGCTGCCAGCCAGATTCTGTGACTGAGACCTGGCTGGATGTAACAGAAGCCACTTGAATCGCTTTGCTTTCTTTCTCCCAGAGTTCACCTCAGTCTTGGGCACTTCAACATGTCCTGTGCTCTCCTAGATCCTTTGCAATGGTCACAGTAACTCCAAGCTTTGGCAAAATGCATGGGACATAATACATAATAGTCACATAAGTGGATTATCTGCTCACATATTTATGCTTTGTTGGTACATCACTGGAATGTAAAAAAAACAAACAAACCAGCCACAGGGCTATGGGGAATGTTATGTCAAGGACAGCACTGTCTTTTGTGTTTTCCAAATTGTCTGCGACTGTGCTTGCAAGAAAAAGATCAGGACAGACAGCGCTGCTCAAAGCCTTTACAAAATGATGCCACCTCCCTAACCCATCCCTCCAATGGCTAGCATGGATCCCCTTTCATTCAAGAATATGTGAAGGGCAAGTGGTTTAATTTGTCTCATAACTGCTCCGTCTACAGTGTACTAACCCCCCTTCATTTTCATTACATTTCAAAAATTATATTAATTGTTTCATTTTTCATTTTTCAAATTCTTTATCGGTTTCCTTCCCTCTGCTGGAGGATTTACTGCCTGCAGACCCGCACACTGGCTCCACAGATGGGCCTGAGCGGGTTGACAGCAGCAGCAAATCCAGTGATAGACCCCCGTCTGTATGGAAAGGGCAGGGGAATAAGAATGACGGCAGAGATGGGCCTGGGGGGGTCAGCCGCAGAAACAGATCAATCTCCAGCCCCAGCCAGCACAGGAAGGTGGGGGGGCTGAGGAGGAAGAGGAAACCTTCCAGTTGGCTACTGTCTCCTCACTTGCCCCCCCCCCAATCCCTCTCATCTCTGTGAACTCTGCAACAGACAATCAGGTCTCAAAAGAGGGAAGAGATCGGAATATTAATGAATACTATTGACTGTCATTATTTTAAAATCTGAGTTCATAAGATGACTGTATCAAATGAGTCTTTCAGTGTTGTTGTTTTTTAAAAAAGTGTCGTTTAGTGGCTCATGTCCAAATGGGACGTGGGATACCTGGGTTCAGCTCCCCACTCAGCTATGAAAGTCACTGGGTGATCTTGGGCCAGTCACTCTCTTTGAGCCTAAACGCCTTCACAGGTCTGTGCGGACAAAATGGGTACGAGGGGAGTACAGTGTGTGTTTGTTACCTTAATCTCCTTAAAGGGACTGTAGGGTACAAATGTGTCGGTAGCTTCCGATGAGCTAATATTTGTATGGTCATCTCTGGCTAAATCCCGGGAAAGAACATGTGGCTTTGAGTAGTCTCTAGGTCATAGGCTGTCATCTGAGCCCAAAGATCAGAAAGGGGTCAGAGCAGAGACTCTACTGTGGCACTTCTGCTGTCCAGTCTCACCTGGCTGCCACTCTTTGCCCTCCTCCCCAGCTGTCACCAGGACTCTCCCTTTTAGCATCTGTTGTCTCCACCCCTCCCCCAGCTGGTGCCTTGGCCAATCCCTGGCCTAAGAGGTCAGTGATCTTCACTACATCTTCTCCTAGCCCTTGTCCTGCCCTCCTCTGACTCCTGCCTCCTCCTTCAAAGCAGGCAGGATAATCATCAGGGAGGACTACTGGGTCGCTGGGCCCTTTCTACCTTGCAGCATTGGCTACAGCAAGCTCAGCCTCCTGGATGGATTGTCCCCTGCTGGAGCCTGCCCTGTGACATCATCCCTGCCGCTGCCAAACCAAGGCCTGCCCCACCAGTCCTGGCCTCGGTGCTGGCCTTGTTGGATGAGGCTGCCCTTGGCTGCTTCAGCCTCTGTCCCACCAGGGGCACCAGGAGAGACACACCCAGGTGAGGCTCCAGTAGCATGAGCAGGGGAGGCAGCACCCAATCCAGACCTATCTTTGGACACCTACAGTTGAAGAAAGGACATCAGAAATAAAGGGGTGCTAACTTGGGAAAGAGAGGGGGGTGGTCTTGCTCTCTCAGCCAAGTATATGATAGTTTTGCCAAGCACTCCCAGTGAAGTATTTTTGGGAGGCTCTATAGAAAAACAGAAACTCCCAAGTTAAAAAAAAAAACCCAATAAGAAGCATGCATGGAGCATTCCAAAATACACTTCAGTGTGGTAAACAAGGAACCCTCTTTGCTTCATGCACTTACTGATTCTTCATCCTCAGCTTGAAAGCAGTACTTTTTTTCTCATGCTCCTCCACCTTTTTGGAATTCCCTCATGACTAAAACCTTTATCAGGGAGGCTGTCTATGCTTGTGGAAACATTTTACTGGCTGGGCTTCCCACTGTGGTACATGAAGGCTGCGGTCACACAAGCAATTTGCCGTGATATAGTAGTGTTACCTCTGTGGATTTAAAGAGCACAATCAGATAGCAACAGCTGCCTTTTGTGTCCCAGTCGTTGGCACCCCATGTTGCCCCACTTTGGAAGCAGCGTAAGCAGGCACCAGGGAAAGTCTGATGTTTACGGATGCCAGTGCTTCCACTCCGCTTTTCCAGACGTCTGAACTCTCCTGCCACAAAAGGAACCCAGAAGGGAAGTCTGAACCCGCAGATCTGTTTCCACCACTGTTTTCTGGAGAGTTGCTGCCTATATGCACATATGTGCATGAGCGCATATGCACATGCACCCACCTGCATTAAAACAAAAATGACTGGGCAGTGCACTCTGTGGTTGAGGTGCTGCAGTAACGTGAACACATGACCACCAGATGAGCATGCAGGGAAACTGCCCCAGGATGTGTTGTCTGGTTGGTCTGCCCCACAGCACTTTAAACCAGTGCAATTGGAGGTGTGCCCTCCAGTGTGACCGCAGCCTAAGATGGAGGATGGATATTTTTGTATTTGCCAGCATACACATGGAAGACAAGCCACTAAGATGTTTAACCAATAGATCCCCCCCCCAATGGATTGATCTCAAACCACATCAGAAATCTAGGTAGAAACTTGGCTAGGAAAGGTGTCTAGTGTTTACTCCTATCCCCCATCTTTGCCCCAGTAATACCTTCAATGGGTGAGTTGATGAGGATAACTCTTCCCATGGGAGATGAAGTACGGATGCCTCGGTAGTTCCCATTCACCATCCGGTTCTGCTTGCTCAGTAGGAGACGGTGAGCAGTGCTGATATCACTACTGGAGCCCCGAGAGTGAGTGGGGTAAATAATATCCCCCTCGAAAGAATCAAGAGCATGTGCCATAGCTTTACTGGATGCTGGTTGTTCATGGAGGGAGTTTCACTCTTGGACAATCTCTGTGGATGATTTGGATAAATGCTGAGTTCTGGGCAATGGAGAAGCTTGACTTTTTCAGGAGAGTTGGGCTATTTTGTTACATTTTGGCCCCTATGTTGCTTCCCACCAGTGGAAACAGATGTTGGACATATTTTAATGAATCAAAGTATTATCTCATGTGACCTCATTTTGTTTTGTTGTTGTTACCACTGAGTTCTGTCCTTGTAAAATGTATCTGTTCTTAAAATGCAAGATCCAGTGGGAACATTTTGCTTTTCATAGGTCCAGATCCAGGCTCCTTCCACACAGATTTGCTGCATGAATGATAATAACAAAGATAAAGTCAGATTCTGTACACTCATTTTGTGATGCATCCTATCCAAGGAAACCAATCTCCAGTTCTCTCTCAAGTTTCTAAATATTTAGGACAACAATTGTATTTTAAAAACATTTTACCATTCACAAGACCGAGAAATTCCAATTTAACAAATAAAATTTGTGACTGTAAGAATTTCAGTATAACTGTTACTCTTATGTCCTGATGTGGATAACCACGGCTAGCTCCATCTCATCAGATCTTGGAAGATAAGCAGGGTCTGCCCTGGTTAGTATTAGGACAGGGGACCACCAAGGAAGACCACAAAGTTAATCTCTTGCCTTACAAACTATATGGGAGTGCCATGTTGCCAATTTCCACCACCATTACCCCTGCCATACAGCTCTTATTGGGTTCTCTATTTCAGGTGAATAATCGAATGCTCATTCATCTTAATTCCAGGGAACTTTACATTTGCTGTCCTATATAATATGGTTGATGGATGCATTCTCACATTGCTAGCAGTGAATGTGTCAGCAATAATTAAAATAATAGCATTTTGAAAGTGGTAGGACTATTATTTTCCATGGGGTTTCAGATTAAAAAAATGAGCAAGGAAATGTTATCTGAGAATGAATGAAACTGCCATGACCTGGATGGCCCATGGTAGTCCAATCTTGTCAGATCTTGGCTGCTAAGCAGGGTCAGCCCTGGTCAGTATTTGGATGAGAGACCAAGCAAGCAGGTCCAGGGTCACTATGTACAGCCAAGTAGTGGCAAAACACCTCTGAACGAGTCTTGCCTTGAAAACCCTCTGGGATCGCCATAAGTTGGCCATGATTTGATGATACTTTCCACCACCACAACAAATGAAACTAGCTCAGCAAAACTGAGACGGTTTATTTAGAAGAGAAAATGGATCACATCCAATGATTTCCTGAGTTACAACAGGAAGGCTATAGTCTGGAACATATCTCGATCTTCTCTTCTCTTGACTTCAGAGGTACACCTCCAGATTTATGATGTGGTAATTTCTGTCAAAATTAACTTCTAAAGAATGACTGGATTTACATCTGTTCAGCTGAAACCAGAACTGAGTATTAGCCTAATGTACTTCTAAAGAATGCAGCAGAATAACTTAGAGCCATATCTACACAAGTTTACCATGGGTCAATGCCAAGTTGAAGTTGTTTCATGTTGTATAAGGTATCTAATACTTTGAGCAGGGATCATAATCCCCTGTTTCACTTTGGAAATAATACTCAAAGCAATGGATGGATATGTTATCCAGTACTTCAGTATTATATTTTAACAAGTTTAATGAACAGTGAAAAACTGAACTCATAATCCATTCAAAATAAATTAATTTAATGAATAATTTCAACTAAAAATGAATGACATTCAAAAATAATTAATTTTGGCTATTTCATGTTTATAATGCAATGGGAGAATTCTGAGCCCACTATGATCAGTATCGGGGTAAAATAAACAATGTAGAGATGTACCAGTGTCAGAATAATACTTAAAGATAAACCACAATGTTCAAGATGCAGGTACATTTTTTTTCTGTTTGTGCAAATTTATTCAGTTGAGAACATACATTATTACTATGAACATGCATTATTATGCATTCTTTACATGAGGGTATTTCAAATATGGTAATCTATGCATATGACTGGCAAACCCTACTAATAGACCTCACAGGGACAGTCCAGTTGCCACATCATAACTTTGAGGGAGACAGAGGCAAATGGTTATTAAATAACAAAAGCCAAACTGAAGCAAGTGTAATTATGACAGCCAATTCACTGCAGGAATTCTGGTTCAACATTGCTTCATCTGAATTTTAGAATCTCACCTTAAATTCGCAGCATTCAACAGAGTTACTTCACCTTTAAAAAGGGAAATACTGAGAAGAGAATCAGACTCTGCTTCCTTTGATGTTACTGAAAGTTCTTTCCTCTAGTTGCAAACCACCCCCCATTTAACTCTAGAGTGTATTCTGTATTTTTACTTGTAATCAACTCTGCATGCTGTAAGCACTAGCCTGTAATCTCTCAGCCCATATGCTACATTTCCAGCAATTTCAGACAGCGTAAATATCTAAAGCTTTCACTCTGAGCACATCCACTGTAACCTCCTGAATAACAATTTGTAAGAGCTTCTGTGCCCCAAACAAGGGCTTCGATACAGCAGAGCTGACAGGGTCATTCTATCTGAGAAGCTGAAGAGCTCTGGAAAGCCCTGGAGACCTCTTCCTTTCTGCCACGCAATCACCCGGAGAGAGGGGAGGGGAGGGGGGATTTTCCAGGCAATTCAGCACCAGTGAGATGCAAGCCCCATTCTCTCCTCTCTCCCCCTCCTGCTCCGCTCTCAAAGGCTGTTGCCTTGCTTGCACATTAGTTGGAGTGCAGCCTGCTTGCTGAGTGACCTGACCTTAATAAATAAGTGATGTCATCCCTTCCATTAGAGACACAGCACGGGGGCGGGGAACTTACAAACACTTGTGGGATAGATACGGACTATGCCCCACTCTGACACCAGGCCATTTGTAGGTAACATGCCTCTATGAACTAATTGCCCTCTTTGGCCCCTTTTGCCAGCGGAAAAGGAACTTTCAGCACCTTGGACAGGTCAAGCTGTCTGGTCCCTGGAAATACCTGCATTAAATTGCAGTCTTCTACCTGCAGGTAAACCTTCCCTTGCCTTATGCCCTTGTTTATGCAGGCAGTTTTCCTCTTGACCTGGCACAAAAGGATCCACACACAATTATGAGACAAAGAGCCCTCATAGAGATGTAAATAATCTCTGAACAGTTAGCCCCCCTCATGTACCCCCTTACCTGTTTCCATGTTGCTCTGCAAACTTCTTCACCTGGGACAGTCACACAGTTGAGCCTGAAAACCTGGTGGTTGCGAGCTGCATCACCCAACCTATTACATGGATTGGCTGGTCAGACCAGGAACTAGCATATTCATAGGCCAGAATAGCTGCCAATTATTCCCACTACTTCCTCATTGAATCTACTGTAGGTGGAAGGAAATAAGCCGGTCAAGTGTATCAGGACTGTACTTTTTAGCAAGCACAGAAGAAAAGGAGCAGCTCAAACAGGTAACCTTGCTAGTTGTTTGTCTTAAAAGCAGGGCTATATCTCTAACAATATTTGTTCTGAAGTCAAACTGAGCATACTGTTGCCAAGAAGGGATGTATATAGTGCTGGTTTCTTAGTGACCAGAAATGCTTTATAAGACATTAAGATATGTGATTGCAATTATTTTCTGCACTTTGATAGTTGGATGATTGAATATGTTGTTTCTTTTTTTGGTATGTTTCTGAAACAAAAGCAAAAATACACTTTTTGCGTGGGGGAGGATTGAACATCAGGTGCATTGACTTAGCATTAGAATAAAGTTGCATTCAATTCACTTTTCCATTGACTTGTTTAGTAGATAAGCACGTACTATCCATTAAAAACATCAGCATATAATCCTTCCTTACCATGCATTCTGACATGGCTCTTTAGAAGCTTTGGTAGATAAAGGTTATAAGTGGATTTCTTCAAAAATAGAAATGGGATGGAATAGCAGGGACCCAGCTTCCCAAAGTGACTGCTGGAAAGCCTTATTTCCACTGCATCTATACACCTTCTTTGCCCCAGTATTAAGGGCACTCCCACATAAGCATAATACCTCTGCCCTTAACTGCTCAGTAAGATGGTTATTAAATTCTTCTCCAAAAATAATTGATACTGAAAAGACCACTTTAAATAACTTGCTCTCGCTCTGGCATTTGTAGAGATACACTGGATACACAGAGCTAGATTTTTGGAGAAATGATTTGGCAATTCTGTTAAATAAGGTTATACATTAAGATAGCAACAAATCAAAGCCCAAACTGAAAATGCCCCATTTGCTAATGTATTCAGAAGAGTAGCTGTTTTAGTGTGTTGAAGCCAAGAAAAACAGAAATCAAGGAACACCTTTAGTCTAATCCATACTGGGGTGGGGATTAATTAAATTGATAATACTGGGAAATGTTATTCTGGCACCTGGCATTCTTTCTTTTTTTCAAAAACTTTTTTATTTTGGATTAACAAGTTCAACATTTATCTATCAACCGTCAGATCCATTTCTTTTAACTCCTCCCCCCCCTTTTGGTGGCTTCCCGCAATGCTTCTCCCTGCCCACAAATATTTTCACATTTCAAGGTAACATTTTTTTTCCTTACAGCTCTAACCTTAGTACATTTCAATCCTAATAATTGTCTAAATACAGTATAGTATTTTTAACATCCCAATTTCTTTCTAAATATTCTTTAAAGTCTTTCCATTCTTCAAAAAAATCTTTATCTTCTTTGTTACTTAACTTCTTAGTTAATTTGTCCATTTCTGCCATAAATAGGACTTTCTGTATCCATTCCCATTTATCTGGAATTCTCTCCTGTTTCCAACATTGTGCATATGTCATTTTTGCCGTAGTAATTAAATACCATAGCAATGTCTTTTTTTGTACATTTACTTCTTCCATCTTTAGACCTAGAAGTAGTATCTCCGGTTCTTTCTTAAAATTACATTTCAAAATTTTTTGCATTTCTTCATGAATTTCTGTCCAAAAAGTCACAGCTT